AGGAATGCATTCCCAAAATTCCGGGGTCCCATTCCCAAAATTCCCGGGTCCCATTCCCAAAATTCCCAGGTCCCATTCCCAAAATTCCAGGCCCCAGAATTCCAGGGACGTGGCCCCAAAGTTTCAGGGATGCAGCTCCAAAATTCCGGGGTCCCGTTCCCAAAATTCCGGGGTCCCGTTCCCAAAATTCCCGGGTCCCGTTCCCAAAATTCCGGGGTCCCGTTCCCAAAATTCCCGGGTCCCATTCCCAAAATCCCAGGGATGCAGCTCCAAAATTCTGAGGACGTGGCCCCAAAATTCCAGGGAAAGATTCCCAAAATTCCAGGGACACAATCCCAGAACCATCCCGGGAACGCGGCCCCGGAATCCCGGGAACGCGTTCCCAAAATTCCGGGGTCCCATTCCCAAAAATCCCAGGGGATCCAACCCCAAAAAATTCCAGGGGGGAACATTCCCTAAAATTCCAGGGGGGAACATTCCCTAAAATTCCAGGGGGGAAAATTCCCAAAATTCCAGGGGGAAAATTCCCAGAATTCCAAGGGGAAAATTCCCGGAATTCCAAGGGGGAAAACATTCCCGGGATTCCAGGGGGGAAAATTCCCGGAATTCCAGGGGGGAAAACTCCCGGAATTCCAGGGCGGGAAAATTCCCGGAATTCCAGGGGGGGAAAACATTCCCGGGATTCCAGAGTGGGAAAATTCCCGGAATTCCAGCCCCTCTCCCTCCCTCCACCCCAAATCCAGCTCAAGGCACTGAAACGCCGGAAAACCGCGGGATCAAAGCCATTTTTCCATAGTTTTTCTATTTTTTGGGAATTTTTTTTTCCATCTAAATCCGGTAGAAACTTTAATTTCCTCTCTTATTTACACATTTTTTTGGGAATGGCCGATTCCGACCGATTTTTCCCGATTTTTTTGGTTTTTCCCGTTTTTCCCCCCCTCTCATCCATGGAAAAAAGGGAAAATTCCTCTCATTCCCGACTTGGGAAAAATGAAATAAAAAAAAACGGGAATAAAACGCCAAAAAAAAGGGAAAAAAACCAAAAAAAAACCAAAAAAAAAAAATTAAGAAAAAAAATTTAAGCAGCTTCAGCCATCCCGAAAAACGCAAAAAAAAACCGGGAAAAATCCTTGGAAAATCCTTGGAAAATCCTTGGAAAATCCTTGGAAAATCCTTGGAAAATCC